TGAATGCCTCCAGGGATGGGGCATCCGCAACCTCCTTGGGCAGATCATGAGAGGTCTTGGATTTTTTTTGTTTGATTGGTTTTTTAATTTATTCATACAAATTCTTTGCTCGGCTAAGACTCCTCAGCACTGAATGTCTTGTGATTAAAAAAAAAAGCAAACACCAAAAAACAACCTAACATGACAAAAATTTTATGCTTGCGGTATCAAATGTTACTGTGGCACTAACTGCTGAATGTTCCATAAATCAATCTGAACCCTTAAATGACTCTTTTTTGCTCTCAAGAATGCATTGACTGATATTTTAAACTGTGCTTGTAAAAAGAGGGAACTGTAGTTGCAACATACTGGAAGTATGTAGGTTGCTCCAAAAGTAATGCATCCTATTTGTTTCCATGAAAATTCAAACAGCTACAAAGAGCAAAATAGTGCTATTTGACAAAGCAAATTCTCAGCTACAAAGCACTGTTTTTCAGCATTATCACCACCATTAGCTGTGCACTTTGCCTAATATGAACAAGAGCCTGCGTGCCATGCTCAAAAAATTCTGTATTGACTTGAAAGCTCATAAATTGAAGAGGTGACTTAAAGAACAAAGGACAGCTAATAAAGTGAAGCTGCTGGAACAGTATCTTAGTCAAGCCCTTTTCTTTCCTGAGCATTTCTCATGCAAAAAATTAGAATGTCTGGCACTGTCTGGTATCAAAAGTTAGTACATTATTTGAAGTCTTATGGATAGAGGTGTAGTAAGGCTTTGGAGTCTCCATGGCTCTCGAGTCTGTGGTGAAAAGGACAGAAGCTTTCGGGAGGGAAGGGAAGGATTCAAAGGAGAACTGGTAAATAATTAGTTCACACTTCAGCTGTATCCTTTTGTAGCTGTGGATTGGGAACTTGCCTCCACGATACAGAATAAATCACAACATCACCATAAAAAGTAGGAAAAAAAAAAAAAAAAAGACCTACCTACCAACCTAAGTAGTTATTTTTTTGGTACGTCTTTCCTCATCACTACTTGTTGCTCAGACAGCAGAAAGTGTTCTTAGAATGTGGCTTTACTTTATGACAAATGGTGAAACGCTTCCATGTCTTCTACTATGCTATTTATTGCTGGAGTTCAGGATAAAGAATAAAAGCACTTCAAAGTCTATGACAATAAAAATATATGTATTTTCAGATTTTTAACATTTTTGTCTGCTATGTTGTACTGGCTTACCTGGGACACACTTAATAGTCTGGCTGTCTGGAGGAACTGGGAGTCAGGCAAAGGCAGAAGGTGCATGTGTTGGAGATAGCTTCTAGCACTGGTGCTGAGATCCACTTTGGTAGTGTGTTGTTGAGATTTAGCACGTTCATTACCTATTGGACTACATACTTGAACTCCAGTAATTGTTCAAGGGGTTAAAGGGAGATTTGCCATAATTAACATAGACGTAGAAGAGTTATTCCTGTCTTATTAAGCACTGGTGCTTCCCCATGTAAATGTGGCAGGATACATCCAATGCTATTTGGCACTTCTGCTATTTTAACTTTGTCTGATTTGATTTAACGCTGAGCTGACGGTATCCATAAACACCAATTTTCAGTATTCTCTCTAGGCTCTGCTCTGGAAGCAATTTTTTCTCTCTTTGTCTCACAGGGAGATTTTGCTGCATACCTGTAGGCCTCCAAAGGAAAGCTATTATGTAAAATAGCTACTGGGAGTCTCCCTAATCCACCTCCAATCCCCTTATTAAAGGAAACATCCGCTTTACCGCACTTGCGGTGTTGAATTAGAAAGCCAACTTACTGTGTAATGCCTTCCCAGCCTAACATAGCATCTTCTTTTCCCAAATGTGGCTGTGCTTTCTTTGTTCTCTCTGAACTAGACATATAGATATACAGTATTTATGGGGTTTTCAGCAAAATGTTTCTGTCTGTCCTGAGAGGGAAACTGATTTTTTTCAATAGCTGTAAAGGCTGATGGCATGGTGGGAAATGATAGCTGCATTGCATTGAAATACTGGGTAGCTTGTCTTTGAGTGACTGGGTGAGAGCAACTAAGCTTCTGGAAATGTTAAATCTTTAAATTTAGATGACTGACTCCTTGCAGACTTCTAAAGCTCATTTTTAAAAATGCAGCAAGCAGCATCCAGAAACTTCACTTTACTTGGAGAGTCTTTAAAGCATTTTTGAGGGTCGCATCTCCATGTCTGGTTGAGCCATACCCCGAATCTCTTGTAATGTCATATACAGCAGGAGACTGGGAGCTGTGACTGATGTGCCTGGGAGGGAAATGGATTAATCTTGGACCTGAAGCACAGCCTTCTTTGTGTGCACCCCTTTGGGGTAGTGGGGGAGGGAGAGCACTGGACTTTGGCTGTCTGAGGGTAAACTCCAAGGAGTGCACTTCTCTCATCATCATGGTGAATACACATCTGTAAAGCTCAATGGGAAGACATGGTGTTATCTTGTGGGCTCTGCTCTAGAGTTCGTGGGTTCTGGTCTTTGTGGCCAATTTGGTTGCTTTGCAGGAGGAGCACCTGGGACTTGAGAATTTCAGTTCAGTTTAGCCAAACTGTAGATTATTTCAGGGCAGAGAGCAAGGAAGAACAGCTCTTTTTTTTTTTCTTTTTTTTTTCTTCTTCTTTTCTCTATCCTCTGTGGTGGTTTCTGTTGCTTAGCAAACTTGGCGTATTTAACTCACCAGACACGGAGATTTTACAACGCCAGACCCATACTGCTGCCAAAGCAGCAACAAATGCTGCTTTAAAGAATGGAACGAGCAGAGCTGAGGTGGGTTTAAATTGCAAAGTTGCATACTTGAAAGTTAAGGAGTACTAGCAGATGCTGTGTTTTTTGCCTTGTTTTATAGGAGTTCTGTCTTGTTCATTGTGCACCCTTTTACTCTGCCTCCTTTGCATAAAATAATTATCTGGCTCTTCTTGTCCTCCCAGTGTTCAAGTTTCTGGGTTTTGTTTTGTTTTTAATAGGATGAGACACAGTACAATCAGAACAAGAAGGATTATGAAAGCTGGAAGATCTGTGTAGGCTTTCAAGAGCACTGAGGTTAATTTATACTACTTGTGGTTTTCTTGTGTACACAAAATGCTTATTCATTTCCTCTTTTTTTCAGTTTTTATTTTTCAAATAGCTATCAAAGAATTTTTTTCCCTTTAATGGTCTTGAGAAATTAATCTTCCCTCTGGAACCTTTTGTAATATTGCACATGCTCCAGTGTATTTGAATTACAAGAACTGCTTCCGTTCATTTGAATGCATGCTCTTGTTATGCAGCAATGCAAACTCTCGAAAGTGTAGGAAAGGCTAATTGCAAGCACAGTTTTCTTGCTGGAATTCAAATTGCTTGTAGACATGTAATTAGAAACAGCTCTGTGTAAAAAGATGTGCCCTTATGCCTGTATCTTTATCTACAGGGCAAACAATCTCTGCTGCAACAGCAGGAGATTTCCTTCTGTATCATATTATGATATAGCATAGTATAGTCTTGAGAATAAATCTGGAGTTCTTTTGCTAGAGGACAAGTTGACTTCTCTGCTTCATGACTTCTTTCTGGGGCTGTTAACAAAGCATCAGTGGTGAAATGACAGCACACTCCTGTTTGCTGGATTACAACCTGTAGCCTCCCAGTGGAACACATTGCATTGTGCTGTTCTCTCACTTCATGTTTTTCTCTCCTAATTCTGTGCTCTAAACCTCTTAGTGTGGCAGGAATATGGATAATCTGCCACCAGCTAACTGGCACAGCAGATAAAATGATGGGAGATGCTGCAGGAGCCCCTCGTGCAGTGGGGGCAGAGAGTTTATCAGATCTTCTGAATACTTGCAGTGGGACTTGTGACCTCCTCAAGGCACATGCTGATTGAAGTGACAAGGTTCAGATATCAAAACTGTCAGATTGACCACAAATTTACAAGACTATATAAAAAGAAACAGAACAGGTTGCTGTAGGGTAGAACATAATCTGTTGACTCGTGTAAAACGGTAAAGCTTGAACTCCTGTGTCTGTGGAGATAGTAGAATTAGCAAGTATTTCTGTTCTGGTTTGCTATAAGCCTGAAATACACCTGCTGTTCTACTTACTGCCAAGACTGAGCTAAAAAACTCAGCAGCCCAGAGAACAAAAAATAGAGTAATTTTGTCATTTAAAAAAAGGAAAGAACAAAAGAGATTCCCAGTCTTCTTTTTGTCACGTCTCTTGAGTGCCTATCTTGGCAAAGTGATTGGTGACAGCAAGTCTGTTGTAGCTCTAGACTAAAATAAGATCATGACAAAGATACTGTCAGTGACAAAAAGCAAAGCTAATTAGCCACAAAAAAGTCTTATGCATAGTTGATAGTTCATGAAAGAGAATATGTATATTTGTGTATATATAGGTGTGTTTATACATACATAATTTCTTGGAATTTAGTCAGGCACACTGTAACCTTGGAAAAAAATAGAAACTTGAACTCAGTTCCTCATCCCATAACCTGTTCTGTGCTGTACTCAAGTCTGTAATGCATCCACCTGACTTGAATGAAAATACTGGCGTGCCAGTTGTTGACAGAGAATTATATAGCATTGGATAACTTCATGAGTGTGTGTTTGTTTTTTCCTACCCATACACATGGGAGGAAAAGGAGGAACAGATTTTTTTTATTATTTTATTTTATGAGCAACAAATAGCCTTTCCTGCTGATTATTTCTGTGGGGAATGAAGGAGATGTCAAGCTTTATTTAGCTAAAGGTAGCTTGTACCAAAGGATGTATCTGTAGAGGAGAACTTTGAAGTCATTTTTCTACTTGCTTTAACAGTTAGAATGGAATGTTTTGTACATGGTATACCTGTGCATTTTTTGTGAAGTTATTCCAGATCTCAATTATTTGTTTTTTATGGTGAAAATATTTGCTGTAGCCCAAATGGAAACGACAAGAAAACAACAAAAAAAATCTTATTTGCCATATTTAGGGTTTATTGTTCTTCAAAATAACAAAATGTTTTTCTTCTATCCTACTTAACAGAGGAGGAACTCAGGAAGCTGAGAGAAGAAACGAATGCTGAAACATTAAGGCAAGAACTAGAAAAGGAACGACAGAGGAGGCTAGAACTGGAACAAAAAGTCAATGAAGTGCTTAAAGCAAGGTAAGAGAAATGTCTTCACTGTATAGCTGAAAGCCACTTGAGGTCTCAGACTCTCTGAATGAGGAGTTTTGGTGAAAACATCAATTACCAGCCTAGACTCACTTAGATGAGTAATTCACGGAGAGAGAAGCTATGTTTTCCTGTAAAAGTACATCAGGAAGCTGAGTGATGAAACAAAGACTGAAACATTAAGGGAAGGGCTTTAAAGAGGCAGGGAAAGTGAAAACTAGAACATGAAGTCAGTGAGTACTTAAAGAAGGGTAAGAGAAATGTCTTTGCTGAAAGCCACTTGAGGTCTCAAACTGAATGAAAGTTTGGGTGAAAATATCCATTTCCAGTTTAGACTCTTAAAATAAACGAGTGGTTCACAGAAAAAGAAGCTGTCCTTTCCTATAAAAGTACAACTTGTACAGAGCAGTACTCCCATATTACTTGACCATACGTACTGTCATAGCAACAGAGATGTCCTGGCAGTTGTCTGGTTGGAATGTTCTTCCTATCATCTCTGGGGTCTGACCTGCATGGAGCTGTCAGCATGCACTGTGTGATGCTGAATGACACAGCCTGTGCCGTGCTGATGGATATATGTTGCCTCTTCAAACACTGTCATCTCCTGACTGCCCAGTCAGTGCTACTCCTCTTCTGGTGAGTGCAAGGACATCCCAGTACCACACCACAGTCCTTAATGTGTGGAAGTGGCTGAAATTTGAGCCTTCCTTGCCACTGCAGTGAGGACTATGTCCCTCCCCATACTCCTAAATTTGTACAGTTTTGAAGACATTTCCCCTGATGCTACTAGGCAACACATTTGATGATGTCTCTTCTTAGTCTGCCTGTCTGTATGGAGACTTTAGATCTTAGAACTGTAGCAGATGCTTGGTGACCCTGATGGTCTAACTCGCTTGCCTGCGTTGTTGTCCTCAGCATAGCTAAGGTTACTTGGCTGAGTACTTGGAGCTGTGGTTCAACATCAGCTACAGTCATCACTAAATAGTGCAAGCTGAGTTGGTAATTGTGCAGAGTAAACGCTGCCAGCTATTTGGAGGTTACAGGCAAGAGCAAACTGGCAAAACTTTTTGCTCTGGGTATGAGATTTCCAATACTATACAGACTTCACTAGCTACTTCCTGCAGTACATATGCTGAGCATAAAAATCCTTTTATGGTTAGGCCAGCTGCCCTTACACCCAGTATTCTGTTGCAGGGGGATGGGAGATGTTTATGGAGAGTATGTGAGCTTACTTGCTTTCAGTAGTCTATGCTAAGCTATGGAAGTAGTTCAGAAGTTCACTGTTAACTACGAAGAAGCAGTTGTGGGAGTTTGTTTCTTTAATACATTTCCTAGTGTCTCTACTTAGAGTTGAGTTAATCACAGAAGTGAGTAACTGTTAAGCATTCAGCTTAAGTATTACCTTTGGTCACTTACTCTTTTCTGCAGACTGTAGAGTTCCAGATTTTCCTGTGTTTCCCTTCAGTGCTTCAGTTACTATTCTTTAATTCTTCTGTCTTAAGATGAAAAGTCTGTGTTCACACTGTAGGTTCACCGAGGCTTTTATATGGCAGATGAAATACTCTTACTCTCTTACTCTCAAAACCTAGTACAGCATTAGTTTTTTTTATTTTGGCTGATGTTTTGTCAAAATCACTGGTTCCATGCAGGATTGGTCCATGTGCAGTCCTGACCCACGCTGTATGCTTAGAAGAGGCTCTGTGAGGTCCTTGCAAGCCAGTCCTGTGGTCATGCACTGGAAATGTGACCTGCATGGTTCTGTTTTGGGAATTTTTTCTATGGTTTTATGGTTGCTCTCAGAGCTGTGAAGTAGGAGACCGTTTTTCACCTCCTGTGCTGGTTGGCTTTGCTGCATGCACATGTAACTTCCATTTAGTGTCTAGACTGAAGATTCATTGTTTGAATGAACTGCTGGGAACAGTGGAAGAGGGACAAAGTTGGACCTGTTCCCATGCTGAGAATATCTGTTTGCCCCATAACAGCATTATAAAGTGTGAATGTTAGTAGGTGAAACTGATGCTTCAGGGCACCTTTTTGTCTACTGTGCTACCTGCTGTGGTTCAACCAGGCAGCACCACACAGTCATTTGCTCACTCCCCTGCTTCCTAGTGGGACAGGGGAGAGAATTAAAGAAAAAAAAACAACACAAACTAGAACTGGTGGGTTGAGATAAAACTATTTACTGAGATAGAGAAATGGAAACTAGTTATCACTATGTATATAAAAATGTGTATAGCAAGTGATGCACAAGCAATTGCCTGTCATCCCCCAACTAGACCCCCAAGCAGCAGAATAGAGAGAGATGAACTCCCACCACCTCCAGAACTCCTTCCACTTGATGTCATATGGCATGGAATATCCTTTTGGCCAGTTTAAGTCAGCTATCCTAATTCTGTTCCCTTCCAGCTCTTTGGGCCTTTTTGGCCCTGTACAGCGCTGCTTAGTGGGCAACTGTAAGCAATGGTGTGTTATCAATATTGTTTTTCTTCTAGAACCAAAACATAGCATTATACCAGACACTTTGAAGAAAACAATTCCATCCCAGCTGAAAGTAAGCAAATCCCGTACAGCTGAGTACAGTACTGGTTGTACCATCAACTCTGGACCTTAGGCTTTCTTCTGAGAGGGGAACACCTGGGTTCATGCCCATCACAGAAGGGGGAGAATTATTCCATTCTAACTGAGAGTTCTGAAGAAGGACAAGGGCTTCCTCTGTAGGAAGTGCCCACCGTCCTGTGTGTGGACTTGCTCTTTACAGGAAGCAATGGGGGTGTCCCAGGATCTGATATTGGCCAAATAAGGGTCTGACTGTGACTTGCAAGTATGAGCATTTTACAGAGAAAAGAGTTTGGTCTTTGTTTATCAAATGTTTGGGCTTTTTTTCAGCTCTCAGTGTTTTCTCTCGAACTGTCAACATCTGTTGTGTTGGGTTGTGGATAACCATAATCAGAGAAAATCTCTAACAAGTGTGCCACTATTAAACTAATGTGGCATGACCTCTGCCCCTCAATGCTGTATTCCCATTTAGATATCTTAAGGATTACACTAGCCCTTTGAACTTGGCTTGCACTTGAGGTTTACATTCAGCCAATTACCCATTTTATCCAAGTCTTTTTCTGATTCGTGTTGCTAACATTTCAGTCTTTTTGGGCAGACATTTATACAACAGCAAAAAAAATATATTGAAACTGCTTTCCAGTTTACACTCAGAAGAAAAATTGGTTTACCTAGGCTTTTTGTTACACCGTGCTCATTGTGTGAAATTCTTTTCCACTGCTTTTTATCTGTTTGCACTTTACTATAGGCATTTTAAAATACCTCTGTTATTACTACAGACAGTGTTGACACAATCAAGCATATAGTAGGCTAAATATATATCTGCTAGCAACTTAATTTTATTAAGTGAATTTGCCTTGGAAAGTCACTATTTGTACTTACATCAGCAGAAACATTTGCCCAAGTCTCAGTTAAGTTTCCATGTCATCTTCAAGTAGTATGTTTATAAAAATGTTTGCATGTATCCTCTTTGCTTACAGAAGTGAACTACTAATGAAAAACAAATCAAGCTATATTGTAAGGAGAAAGAAATTATTTTAGCTATTCCAGTATTCAGAATTATGTGTGAAGCAGATCAGTACACGCAGCTGTATAAATACATGCAAAGTGTGCAACAAGGAGAGAACAATGGGTTAATGACATACTTTTTGTGTGTAGAGCATGGGCTTATTTCATCAAATTGTTTGTAGGGAGGAGTGGAAGAAGGGGATGTTTAGTTGGATTTGCATTTGTTTGTTGCAGTGTTCACTGTATGTCTGAGCATTCAGAAAGAGGCCCTCGGCTCAAGTTTTCCATAGACACTTTGAGACAGCCCAGCATTTGGTGCAACAGCTGAAGCCAGTAACATTTTACTGGTGGAACAATGCATAAATAATCTGGAATAGTCTTGTATGAGTAATGCTTGTTTAGTGTAAATTGTGGGCTGTTGCTGCCTTGTTTTACAATTTGTTTCCAGCTCTGTCACACAATAAAAAATACGAAGTACTGTAACAACACTTACCAGCAAGCTGTGTCTCATATGAATCTCTTGAGCTATTTTTAAGAAGAATAGACAGTGGTTTGACATAAGCCACCGTTTCTTCTGTATTGTGCATTTTTATTGACTAACTGGCCCCTTGCTGAATGGCATCCCTTGAGAAGATGCTCTGCATGACAGTGAAAATAGCTGTTCACTGAAGACTTTCTCCACTGGAAAGGTACCTGTTAGGCTGGGACTGCACACAGGTAGCAAGAAGCTGACACCCAGGTCAGGTTTTTGGCAGTGGTACTGCGCTGGGATTGCTAACAAATCCATCTGGCTGAACTGTCCTTCTCATTATTTTTAACTTATCAGCCTGTCACCAAATCTACCTCCTGTAAAGAGTAGTTTGGGGTGTTGTGGGTTTTTTTTGTTGTTTTTTTTTTGTTGTTTTTCTCTGGCCACAGATATTTAGATGAGATCTTGCATAACTTTGAGTTGATAACAGTTCTTCTGAGAGCTTTTATTTTGTTTCTGAAAGTACAAACTGTATTAGCCATGTAAAATGTGGGAATATCTGTGTGGGAAGGACAAAGCGTCCTAAAGTATTTGGTGTATTTTAATGGGAGGGAAATGGAAAACGTGAAAGTATTCTAACTCAAGTATGTAACAGCCCCTCTGGTTGAGATGCCATGTATATCTGACTGATTTGTCTTTAAACTGAGCCATGAAAATACCTCATTTCTGCATAATATTTTTGTTTCTGTTATTGGAAGGTGCTTTCCATGGAAGTGTGCATGTGTTTCTTTGAGATCCAACAGAGACAAAACTGGCTTCAGAAAAGCTGTCAAAGGAATGATGATGGGTTTGTGAGCTCAGTATTAGAGCTAGTCTGTAGGAAGAGTGCACATGGCTGAGAACAGCCCTGTAGCTGTTGTAAGGCTGTGTGCAGTAGGTCAGGTCTTCGTGTAGTTTTTTGGAAAGATTCTTTTGATTCACATTCAGTTCAACTCACAGCTGTAGTCAAGGCTAAAGACACACAAAGCAAAAATATTTAGATACGATAAACGAGCAGCAGTTCAGCATCAAGGTTCCCTAAACATTTGGGTCATATGGCTATGAAAATAACAGTTTGGCACCATTTTGTGTGTTTCTGTGGGGCAGAATTGAGTGGAAGCCTCACTGATGTGTGCTTGTCATTTTTAAACATTGCACATGTACTCATCATGAGCAGCTCTAACATCCATGCTTCCCTGCCACGTGTGTATAAAAGAATTCCCACACTTGTGCTCATCTTTTCTTAGCTGTAGCTTGCTATTTCCTGTTTTAATCAGCCTTTGCTTCTAAGTGGGTTCAATCTGTAGTTGCATAAACATGCCCTTCCATCAGGAGGATGGCCAGTTAGCCTTACTGACCACAGCTTTTTTTCTGGGTGGAAAGCACGCTCACAGAGGCATTAATGCAGCTTGTTTTCTTCTGTACAGGCTGCAGTTAGGAAGTCTGCAGCAAAACACAACCTTCTGTGTTGTTTCAAAGACAGTTCATATTTTCCTGCCTTCTAATTGGTCTCTGGCATGAGAAGAGGTTCAGAAACTGTAGGAAGGATGATTCCTGCCCATCAGGGGTCTTGCTGTAGTGAGTTGGGCTTCCCAATGGGTTTTCAAGCCTAAAGAATGAATTTTGAGCTTCCTGAACCAAATTTGTCTGAGATGGCTAATTATAACCTGATTCACAGGTGCAGTAATGAGTTGTCATTAACCTGGTGATTCATAAAGGTCATGTTCTTCATGGGGAAAGAGTGAGAGGCAGATGGCAAGTAAAACAGTGCCAAAAAATGAACAAATGGAAAAACCACCAGGAATGGCCAGAGCCAGACTCTGGTGTGCTACTGAGGAAGGCAGTAAGCCTGGTATTCCAGACTGTTGCTGGATGAGATCTTTCTTGACTTTTTTCCAACTAACATAGAGAGTAATGACGCTGAGCTGCTTCTGAAAATAGATCCCAGCATGTCAAAGGAAGACCCAGCCTGAAGGCTCTGATGGTTGTTGATGGTGGGATCCCATCTCCATTCTGTCACCGGAGCTGTTCAGGTGTGACATCCCCCCAGGACGCTGCTCAAGCAATGGGAACCTGCCTGTGAATGACTGTGGCCTTCCTACCAAAATGAGTTTTCAGCGATACGTGGTGGCAGTGACAGACGGTGACTAAAAATGTCCCACGTGTATGGAGTCACTGTAGAAGTGTGTTGGGAGAAAGACACTGCTATGCAATAATCTGTGCAAATTTGATCACATTCAGTGCTTGTTGTCTTTAGAGGGATGGAGTTGGATGCATGTGTGAGAAGGCGCAAGGAGAAGGAATGTCTGGGTGGAGAACTCAGGGCTGTACAGAACTGGGGAAAAATTGCAGAGAAACACAAGTGGAAGTTTAGTTAGGGGAAAAAAAAAACCTGCTGGTATTTAGATTACTTCTGAGAAAATTTGAAGAGTTGCTGCAAATATAGAAACAGTGTGGAAAAGATCTGCAGAGGGGTGAAAACAAGTGGTTTTCAAAGATGAAACCATTGAGTTCACCTTGACTGACATCCAGTTACTTTACAAATCAATAAACTATTTCTAAATGTTCCTTTTAGAAATAAACAGGAACGTAGAAAATCCATTATGTATGGGGAGTGCTTGTAATTAGCCCTGTCATTTTTCCATCTTAATGAGTCAGAATGCACAAATTCACAGAAGCCTTTGCCATGTGCAGACAATACAGTGAGATTTTACCTAATGTACTTCTTGGAAGAAAGGCAAGATGCCTATAAACCCATCTATATTCTGTTACCTGCCTATGCACTGTGATCTCCTCTTGCTGACCTGCATCCGTCCCACTTGATTCCTTTCCTGAGGAGTGAGAGATGGAACGAACATTTGAAAGCACCTACCTTGTCTCCTTAAATAGGTGTCAGTGAAAGTACACAGCTAACATGTTATTGTTTTGAATAATAACCTTTTTGGTTATACAGTTCTGTGTCACAAAAAGCTTGCTGCAGCTGTTCTGTTGCAAAGCTGCTTCTTCATTAGAGAAATCTTTCTGTAGCATGTCTGCATGGATGGCTAAAGGCTGATGAACTGATGCTGGAAGTGTTCTCAAGACACTTTAGCAGTTGGAGGCTATGGATCCTGCAGATGTGGAGCCTTATACGTGTGCAGAATGGCCAGATGGTTCTTGTTTTCCAAAACGCGTGGTTTTAAGAATGAGAGCATTATTCTTGATCTGTCTTGAAAGATGAAACCAGTGATGCCTGATTCTTGTTGTGTGGCTTTGGAACATTATCATCTCTGTTTTTCACACTGATACATGAATTTTGCATTTATTTATTTTTTAATACAGTTTCATCTTGGCTTGGCATCTGCGCACTGAGAGCTAACAATGTATCATTTGAAATAATTCTTGGTATCTGCTCTTCTCACTGTGAAGATGAGTGGTATTGACTGTACTAACAGCAGCAGAATTCAAGGGTCATATAATAAACTGTGGTATTGTTTGAGTACTGTGGTTATCAGCTTGCAGTATGGAATCCCTTTTCATTTATTGCTGTGGGAAGAGTCAGGGCTCTGAAGAGTTTTCTGGCAGCATTGCAATAAACATAAAATGCAAAGACATAAGTAATGCAACCAAATGATACTAAAATATTTTGTTAAAAGATCAGGCTGAGTGGTTGCTGACAGAAAATGGCTAAACTACACTTATCCGTTACATGGTGATATTTCCCTGGATCCTGAATGCAGCGTACTGTGATAATTTTAATCCTGCAAGAGGACGCACGTTTGGTTTTCTCTTTAATTAACTTGCAGGATTTTGCATTGTTTCTGTTTTTCTTTGCAGAGCTGAGGAGGTATCTGCAGCTCAACAACCTGCAAAGCCACAGACACAGGCCAATGGAGCAGGTAATCTTGGTCAGATCTGTACTAGCAGTTTGATGCAGTTCGTTTTCTTTCCACTCGTTTCTTTTGAAGCTCTTCCAGAAAATAAGATGTTATGGGAAAACTTGCTTGGTCATGAATCAGACTTTTGAAGAAGCCAAGTAGTAAGAGCATCTGAGCAGATTCTTACGTCTGCATATGATTCTGCTTTTAGTTTTTGTAGATGATTTTATATGCTTGAATAAGGATATATATATATTTTTAATTAGACGACCTTCAGGAATGTAATGAAATCTGTTGTCTGACTTTTTGCATGTCGAGCTGTTCAACCTGGAGAAGAGAAAGCTCCAGGGAGACCCGATAGCAGCCTTTCAATATCTAAAGGGGAGCTGTGACTCATCTCCTCTTTTACACTGTTTTATTGACTTTTCTTTCCGAAGAATGCTGCTAGAAAGTGATTTTCTGAGGTAGAGACAACACAAAAGATGAGTGTTCTGCTCTCATCTGCACTGCCTAATCCTGCTACGTACTTCCACTGAAACCAGCATAAAGAAAGCATGCAGTACTTCGTTGCTTTCCATCTCCTTTTCCTGTCAAATTAGCATAGCTGTAAGGTGATCATCCTATTCTCTGCTCAGGAGTGTTTTGCTTTACACTTCCTTTTCTCTGGATGACCCATCAGCACAACAGGAGTGCTGAGATTTGAGTCAGACCTTTGTTAACAGAACACAGCAAAAAGTTTGTTAGTGTTTGCTAAAAGTTCTCATCTGTTAAGAGTGTTTCAGTAATTTCTGTAGTTGTATAGTGAGGTGTTCCCATGTGCTGTACTTACAGCAAAACTTGTGCTGGATGCAGGAATCTTCTTCAGTCATCTTTACAAGCATGGCATAGTCTCTGTTTCTGTGAAATGGCAGAACTAAATCACATAGTGAACTTCCAGGAGAAGTGTTACTGAAAGACAGAAATGCTGTTACAAAGAATACTATCTTACCAAAAACAGCATACGGAGCACATGAGGTTTTATACAAAGATGTTTTCTAGTAATATCCTGATACAGAGTGCTTCTTTGTTTTGTAGATAAATGTAGTCACACTGTATGTTCAAGACTCCAGAAGTGGTTTTGTGACAAATTTGGGGAGTATGTTGAGGACTTCAGATTTCAACCAGAGGAGAACACAGTGGAAACAGAGGAGCCACTTAGTGCTAGAAGGTAAATCTCCAACATGATTGAAAGGAATTGTTGGGTTTTTACAAGTTGCTTCTCTTCAAAGACAAAAAATCAGCACCTTTTAGATGATATGAGCAAGTGTTTGTATCAGGAGTAATTAAACTAAAGCTATCTCAAATGGTTTGTGAGTACCTTGGATGAAACACAAAACTCCATCTGCAACCTTAGGTAGAAGAATTGTTTAGCAGGCTCTGCCATGCACTTCTCAAAATGTGGGCTAAGGCTTAGTTAGGCTGCAGAGCTTTTACATTTCAATTTTTGATTTGATGCAAGATAGCCTATATTACTAGAAGCACATTTCATAAGAGGCAAGAATGAAGCTAGATGTACAAACGTTTAATTTATAACTGTGAGCAGTGTTCCAGAGACCAGGGGAGCATGACTGCATTTCGATATAATTCACTTGTTGTCTTTTTAACAAGTTTCTTTTATTGATTTTTTTCAGGTTGACTGAAAATATGAGAAGATTAAGTAAGTATTAAAAGTACTTCAATTTCTGCAAGTAGTTCTTAGTGATTTTATTGCGAGGACTGCTGCATGCAACGTATGAAGTTTAGAAATACTTCTGCCTGTTCAAAAGCAGGAATGGTTCTGAAATCCTGCATTAGTGCTTGGAGTGCAAAGTAACTTAAATTGCCTTAAATCTAGCATCTAGCATTGCACAAAGTATCTCAGTGGTAAAAATGTAGTGCTAATTAAAATGTGAAAGCACATAACAAGTGAGAACAGGTTATTTCTACAGTGGCAAGATGCTTATTCCTGAGCTGCCCACATACTTTTTCCCAAGCTCCTTGCAGTTTGCTTGCTGGGCTTTTAGCTTATGCTTTCAAAGGAGGATAGGTTAGTCTATGAGTGGGTCTTGAATTTTTTCTCTTAGTGAGGTGTATTGGAAGGTGAAGGATGGGTGGTGGCAGGTTAAACTAAGTAGTTAAACCCTCTAGAAGTTCTGTACAACCAAGAATTGCTACAGCTTGAAAAAAAAAGGCTGTTTTGTGCCTCAAATCTTTATAGTATTGTCGATGGGAGGCGCATAAGGGTCTTTAATCTCAGTATAATTGTGATTTTAGTATCCTTAGAATCAATACCAGTACTTTGGGAGCATACCTGTGACCTGTTCCTTGTAGTGAATGTGCTTTGCCTTTTGAGTAGTTTAAAAAAGAGTACTGAGCTTATGCTTTGAGTGGTTCTCAAAGGTGCCTGTTGTTCAGGGGTGCCTGGTTGCCACCTGCAGCTCTCAAGGGCCTTTCCATCAGCAGTGCTTTCCAAGTGGTGACCTTCCCTGCAGATTTGGTGTGGGATGGTGAAACAGAGCAGATGGGAGGAACTGCTGGAAGCATTGCTCAAGTCAGTGCCTTGTCTGAAGCCTCGAGTCTGCCCATCCACTTGTTTCATCCACGGCTTTGTTTAAGTCACTGATGCTCAAGGAAATCTGGCTGTTTAATCACTTCCCATAGGGAATGCACCAAGGCTAGCTGAATTTCAAGCCGAACAAACTAGGACAGCAAATTGCAGGCTCTCTTGAGGACAGCCTTTCAAAGCTGTGAGCTGTGCTGCAAACAAGGGTGGGTACCTCTGGGCTCCCCTTTCCAAGAATATTTACTCTTATCAGTAGGAGAGGCAAAAGCAGTGTTTTTCAATAGAAAAAGCAAAGGTCTTCTTGCAACAGCCCCTTCCTGTTTTGCTGTGTTGCTTAGCTAAGTGGTAAAAAAGCATATAGGAATAGGAAGAGTGAAGGACAAGTGTATTTTAGGGAGTTGAAAAAGAGCTGCTTTTGCTGCCGCTGCCTGGCTGAGTGTGTCTGCAGATGGGAGCAGTGCCCTTCCCTGTACAGATTTGTCACTCAGCAAGAGCAAAGGTCTGCAGAGCTGAGAGACAGGCAGCGAGGTCTTGTGCTGTGCCTTAGAAAGAGTAAGCAGCCAAGTCCTGCTAACAGTTTGACTGCAGCAGAAGTGCAGCCAAGAGATATGTAACCTGGTTTGAGGTCATCTTTTTTGAAGTAACAGTGAATTGCTCGTTGGTGGCTTGGAGTCCAGTCAGGCTAGTTTAGCTTGTTTTACAGTACAGTGGGCTGACCTATGCTGAGTTCTTTGGAGCAGTGTGAACAGAGCTCAGGACAGACTGCTGTAGGCATCCGAGTTACCCTTCTAAAAATAATGCAAATCTTGATTTATTTATTTGATGTGCACTTAAGAGTTTAGATATAACTTTTATCTTGAATAACAATTCAGTTTTCGAAAATGCATTACTGAACTGGTTGTTGTTACGTTGATGGGTCTCTACATTTTAGTTTTCCTTAATTTTGATACGGCTTTTTTATATTTACATGCCTTGAGTGTTCTTACTAACTTTCTGATTTTGTTGTTTGATGTTTACAAGTGACTTAACCCCACTGTCTGCTAATTCTAATAATTGTGTTCTTTCTCTGCTCTGTTTAGAGAGAGGTGCCAAACCTGTTACTAATTTTGTGAAGAACCTTTCTGCCTTATCAGACTGGTATTCTATCTACACTTCTGCTATTGCCTTTATTGTAAGTTATGCTATTCCTCCAGAAGTTATAAGAACTTATTTTAAAATATATTATTTATGGAAATTCATTGAAACTGCCATATATTCAGAGGGATTACGTTGAAGTCAAGTCAAATAGTAGGATTGCAGTTAACAAAAGATACGGTGTAGTTGCCATTTAAATTAAATTTCAGAGCCATTTCAGTTGTACATTCCAAATTTGTTTTGTAATTGTTAAAATAACTTGGAACAATATGGACATTGTTCTCATATTCTTTGCTTCCTGTCTCCCTGGTCAGTGAACTGATGATGGTTACTGCAGCCTCTGCAAAATCTCTCTTTTTCTGGAGCTGAAAGGCTGATAGAGGCTATACTTGATAGTAAGATATCTTTCACCATCAGTGCTCTTTTCTATTGATTAGAGTCACACTTAGTGATGAGAGACAAAGCACCCTGATTTTAGTTTCATTTAATGTGCCAACATGAGATCTGTGAACTAAATCTAAGTGTTCCCATGAGCTAAATTTAAGTGTTCCCATAGGGCAGTGTAAGAAAGTTTGCATGCTGCTGTGACATAACTATTTAGTGGAGTTTTGATTTGTTCTTTTTTCTTCTACGTGTTAATGAAATGATCTAAATTCCTTTGGTTGTGCTGTAGACACAATATTTAGAATGTCAGAGGAAATTATAAACAGTAGTTCTAACTGATTTTATCAGAATTAATCTTTTTGGTGAAAATGCTACACACTTTTCCATTAAATGATCCACCTCTGTAAGTTATAGAGCCTTGTTGAATGATACTTTGCACTGCACAGCTGAAAGAATACTGAGGAGGAGACTTTCTCACCACTGAAGTTTGGGATTTAATTGATCTGAAATAAAACAGTGAGTTGTCCTGATGCCCTGTGAGGGTATAACTGTCCTAGCTCTTCCTCTTCTACAGTGTTTCTTTCACTGACCTAGCCTGGTCCAGCTCATCCCTGGCCTTGAAGACATTCAAGGCCATGCTGAACAAGGTTCTAGGCAACCTGATCTAGCTGTGGTGTCCCTATTCAGTGAGGGGAGTTGAACTAAATGACTTCTAAAGGTCCTTTCCAACTCTACAGATTTTATAAGATATTAGACCATATCATGTTTATGTAGTAGATTCAGACTTGAAGATTTATGATTATTTTTTTTTCCCCACATCTTCACATAATTGCAACTTTGGAAATAGTCGATCTTGTGCAGCTGAGAGCTATTTAAGTGTTATCTCTGGAGATTTGGTTCAGCCTTATAGTTTCAGCTTTACATTCATTAATGCATTACTGTTGTCAATCCTGGAGTGGCTAAAATTCATTAATATTCATGATCTGAGTTGTATTCTCCTGAACCCGGCAGTACCGTGGGAAAATGTGAGTGACTCACTGTACCTAAGTTTGTAATCTGTGTCTTTTTTTCTTTTCCTTCACAATCTGCAGATTTACATGAATGCTGTATGGCATGGCTGGGCCATTCCTATGTTCTTATTTTTAGCAATTTTGAGGTTGTCCCTAAATTACCTCATAGCCAGGTATGTATGTACTTAAATACTAGATTATTTTCTTGTAACACTTTGCTTGAATGGGGATTTTTTGTTCTTGTATTGATTTGTAAACTGTTACTTTTTCTAACATTGTGAATTAAGTTTACAGGCTAGAATTCAAACTCCAGTATCTATGATTTCATTGCTTAATTCTATAATCTTTGAATGCACTTAGGAATTATCTTTATTTGCCACGGCTTGGGTCATCATAAATGAGACTGCGTGTTCTCAGACAAACCTCTTAATACTTAAAGAATCGAAAATAAAAATACCCTGCAGTATTCAGAATATCACCTTACATATTGAAGAATATCTCGAATATCACCTTACATATTGAAGCCTGCAGCTTCCTAGAGAGAATTTTCACCTACACCTAAATTGCAATTTATTCTTTTTCTTTGGCTCTTATATCCAGAGTCTTCCATTTGTATACTTGGTCTCTATTAAAAATTAAGGCTTCTTAAAAAATCCTTTTTTCTTCTTTCTGTGCTGAGAATATCTTTTAAAATGCTATTATAAGCTTATGATTTTTTTCCCCTTAAAATTGAGATGGGGACCTTTCAGTGTGTGTCTTACAAAATCATTTTCTAATTTCTTGCTTAATACTTGCAGTCTGATGCTCCATTCTTTGAAAATTAACAAGACCAAAGAGGCTCCTGGATATGTTTATGCAATTCGTTCACTCACAAAAAAATCCTCATTATCTGTTCTGTGCACGCAGTCCACTTTTATGATAAAATCCACAAGCAGTGTACCTGATTCCATGCAGTATCTACTTAGCTAATATTGTTAAATATATATATATATGCATTTAAAGCCACTTGTGGTTGGCTCCTTCTACTTTTGTCGTGTTGTAGGCTCCTTGTTGGTTTTTGAGTGTTTTTTTTTTAAAAGCCATTTTACTTACTGCAGAAAACTGCTTTTCAGCCTCTTAGAACCAATCCATGTTGGCAGATGGAAAAGAAATACTTGCTCTCTTTAACTATTTCCGTAACTTCTAGGGGTTGGAGAATACAGTGGAGTATTGTGCCTGAAGTTTCTGAACCTGTGGTAAGTCTTTGATCAGTTTGGTCTATGCGACTATGTTAAAAGCTGCACTTTCACAATCTTTCTATGTGTGTGAGTAGTTGAGACAGGAAAGAAGAATAAGGTGTAAATAAAGATGTAACAACTTCTTTCTCTTGCCACTTAGAAACTAATAGTGCTCTTATATTTGGGTGCTTCATAAAATGTTCTGAATTTGATTGAAATTTCTGGAATAAACTTTCATGTAATAACTGGGGCCAAGGTAGATCCTGTGGGAACTTAAAAGAAGCCTTGTGTTGTGTTTTGTTTGTAATGAATTATAATTATTACTTGTGAACCTACTTTAAGCAGTAAGTTGGACTAGGTGACCTCTTAAGGTCCCTTCTAACCTGAATTGCCATCTAACTTCACATGTTTTTTTTTGTTTGAAGTACTAATGTAAGATGAAGTTCTTTGAATTTCAAATCGTGCACTGAGACTTACCAATACTGTTAAAAGATCAGTAATCTAGTGGAAAAAAAAGTTGCAAAATTTCTAAAAATGACATTTCCTTGCTAGACCAGAAATAAGTCACTCTAGGTCTGTGGCATAGACTGAAAGCCATTGTAACTGCATTTCTTCAAAGACATATTGTCTTTTGTCTGCAGTCTCGTATGACTCATATTTGTATATACCATGGAGGAAAAGCATTCATAGCTGAAGATAACCATCAGTGAAAAATATATTCTGTAGATCTAAAACAAGGGAGGAACTTGCTACATTTAGAGATTGTTTAAAGTGAAACTATTGTTTTCAAGAATGTGGAGGAGTCGCATTGTTGTGAGTAGTTTTGTAAAATGTCACTTCCATCTGAGACAAAAATTAATCAGTTATCTCTCTTTCTTGCTCAAGGAACCTCCAAAAGAGGATCTGACGGTGTCTGAAAAGTTTCAGCTTGTTCTAGATGTGGCTCAGAAGGCGCAGGTACTGTGCTACTCTCATCTCTTTGGCTTCTTCCCTAAAACAAAAAGGTTCGTTCTGAAGTGGTCAGAGCACCTACCCAGCCTGTTACAGATGGTGTGAAAACAAGTGCTTAAACAATACTTTTCTCACATTCTTTACTTACAAGCAATAGAACTACCAATAGGATGCCTGGAGCTTCTGAAATGGCCAAATGCTTTGGAAAACTGGTTGGCGTTCTCCAAGTCATGATTCAGAACAAAGTCCAAAGGGGAAGAGAAATCATTTCTGACTCTTTTTTTCCCTACAGTATGCAGTCAAGTTTCTGAAAATGTAGACCAGGCAGTGAATCTTAGAAAAGTACTGGAACATAGGTCCATACCACAAATGTGCTAGTCACAAAATTAGCTTGAGACTTTATCCCTTCAAGTTTTAAGGTGAAGGTTGCTGCATGTTTAGATGTGTTAGTTAACAGTTGTCACCAGAACAGTCTGGTTTTTAAACACCACCACCTTAGCCTGAAATCTGTTTGCGTGGCAAAAGATGAGGGAAGACTCTCTCAGCTATATCATTTTGGTTAGCTACACTGGTAGTTCATTGAGTCAACCATAGAGTTGAACTGCAGCTTATGTTTATATGAATGCATCTCAAAGTTCGTTTGGAAGATGAAATTTACAGGTGTTGTGACAGCAAGGATCAGTTAGAGAAGGTTGCTGAATAACACTGTTAATCCAGAGAAGTGGTCTATTTGTATCTGTAAGAATTATATGGAATCTTCAAGGGTGTATCATAAAAATCCCATTAAAAAAAGCGAATAGCCCAACATTTGACAATCTCAGTAAGCACTTCCTAAAATTTCGGTGCTCTAATGATTCAACCAGGTTTCCATTTTGTTACCAACTAACAGAAGCTCCTTGCTTCCAAATTCTGGCAATTTAAATTTTTTGCAGTGATACAAACAGTTTCCAGTTATAACAGTGAGTTTGAAAAACTTCTTTCACTTCTAATAACCAAATTTGAATTGAAGAACAAGGTGTTAAATTAGAAGTTGTTGAATGTTGCTGTTCAGTGCTGTATTTATTCAGTTGTGAAGTCTGTAAATGGCTAAAAAATGATTTTTTAAAAAATCACTTTCAGGGATTGCTTATTCTGTAAGATAACTTTGTTGGTTTCTAATACGTGGACAAAAACCCTCCAAAGTAACACAAGAATTGGATTTAATTCTCTTGCTTCTTATGCAGAATCTTTTTGGGAAGATGGCAGACATACTGGAAAAAATTAAAAAGTAAGTTATATAAGTTAATTTTTTTTTTTTGTCCTTTTTAAATAAAGACAACATCTGGAAAGCGTGGTAATACAGTTTTGGTTTTATTTGTTTTCAGCTTGTTCATGTGGGTCCAACCAGAAATAACACAGAAGCTCTACATCGTTCTATGGGCAGCTTTTATTGCATCCTGCTTTTTGCCCTACAGGATTATTGGACTTGCAATGGGTAAACACATTAAATAATTGACCTATTAAAGTCTAGACTTAATGCTTTAAAATTTAGCATGATCTTCAGAGAGGGAATTTTGGAGTGTAAGAAAGAATACCCTACATTAATAAATAATGCAGTGTTGTAAAGTGTCTTCACTGAGCTTGGCATTGTTTGTTGCATGCATTTCTGAAAGCCACATCTGAATACATAATCTAATAGACAAAGACTGGAGAATACATTTAGTCCTTAAAGTGGGGAAGTCTGTGATGAGCTTTTAGGAGAGATTTTCAGACTGTCAGCTCCAAGACTTAGAAGAAGTCTTGTATTTTGTTTTTTTTGCTCATACTTCCTTGTACATGAAACACACACAGAAGGCTTGAGGATGGTAGGGTTGGGAAAACTGGTATGAATAGAAAATGACAAGATATGAGTGTGAACCAAGATCTTTGGTTTTATGGTCTTTTTCTTGAGGTAATGAGATGATCGGAAGAGTATTAGCTTCAGTGGAGCTGAACTTCAAACCTTTAAACCCTGTTAACCTAAACATATGTATGGATTTGCTTGATACAGCTATTGAATTATAAGCATGAGGTATTATTTTATTGCTCTGACTCTTAGGAGATCTGAATCTCATTCACTGAAGTCTTAAGAGAGTATTTCAAGCCCTTTTTAATCTGTTAGAATGCACGAGAGTACCTTCTGTCACAGAAGGTAAGATAAGACATGCTGTACTGGAAGGTAGAGGTTAATGCAGTACGTGAGAGCCCTCTGTTGCCGTATAAATTTTTGCAAGTAACTGTAGAGCTTAGTGCTCTGACATGTTTTCTATTCTGGAAGTATATTATGTTTTCAAGATGTTTTTGGTAATAAACTTTGTATGTTTGAATTATTTCAATGCTCTTCTACATAGTAAGAAACTTTGTGTTTGTAAGAACGTGGGAAGGGGAGAGATCTGTGGGTGAGGAAGGGGAAAAAGGTTTTGCTGCCATTGTAAGAAGACTCCAAGTAGCACCAAGGACTGGTTTAGCACTGTGAATGAGGAGACTTAAATAATTTGGTTTCCTTCATGAACTTGTTCAAACATGGTCAAAACTGTGATTTTCTCAGTGCCTTTACAAATGCATACCATAGTGATTTATTTTTTTCAGGACTCTATGCTGGAATCAAGTTTTTCCTTATTGATTTCATCTTCAAACGATGCCCCAGACTAAGAGCTAAGTATGATACTCCTTATATCATCTGGACAAGTCTCCCAACAGATCCTCAACTCAAAGAAAGATCTAACGCTACAGTGTCGAGACGAGTAAGGATAATAAATCATTTTGTACCTCTGTCCCCAACATCTTAAAATCAGATACCTTTCTCCCTTCCACTTTTCCCCAGTGGCTAGAGCACAATTAAGAGGAAGATTAATTTAAACTTAACAATTATTATTAGTTCAATTTCTATAATTATGTTGAAGATTCATAGTGTTTTCGTATTGACTTTGTTTCTTGTAAGAAATTAATCCAGTATCAAAGTGTGCGTGTACGTATGCACACAAAAATAATGGCAATCACATGAAGCTAAATACACAAAAATAATTCCATCCATATTCATTCCTATTACTATTTCTGTAACATACATTCTGTGTGATTTTTTTTTCATAGTCAAAATTCAGTCTTGTGTTGCCTTTCTCTGTTCTCAGATATTTTTTAGTGGAGATTCGGCTGCTTGCATGAAGAACAGGAAGAAAAGAGTAAATACATAGCTTGCTAATGGGATACATGTTAATGGAATTAGTAGCTTAGAGACATAGATATTATGTCTAAAAGTTATTCGTATTAGACAACCTTTTAGCATAGTGATGACAAATGATTTTTCACCATGTTGGTACTCTTCTCAGTAAATTTTTCTTTTGTTAAAGTCTCGTAGACTGTAGTCTGGTCCCATCTTAGTGTTGGCTTAATGCCTCTTACTACAGAAATTGCATCATGGGGTTTCTGAGTATTCTCATAAAGTTCCTGGCTAAAATGTGAAACACTTAGCAGTAACTCAGGCTGGGCATGCAATTGGGGAGCAACAGGGGTAAACTGTAACCTGTGGTTAACCTGTCAGGAAGAAGTCTGGGGCCTGGGGGAAGTTGAATAGAAGGTGGCAAAATGATAAGTGCAACTTAAGCTGAGTTTTTCGGAACAAAGTAGAAGAGAGAGAAAATCTGACTGAAATTGAATCTTCTGTTTGTATCTTCTGTCTGATGAGAGAAATGATCAAGAGGTTAGGCAGGGTTGTAGATTCTGTCGTCTGTAGCTGCTATTTCTGTTGCTTGCAAAAGATGGATTTAAAACTTCTTGTATCCCTAGAGCTTACAGGTTATCCTTCACTTGCTGTGAAGATTGTGTAATCTACCTTAGGGATAGAAAGGCTCTAAGGAGCTGAATCTGAATCCATAAACTTAAAGAATAACTGTCCTTTCTGCTTCTCCTTTATGGCTTAAGTTTTGACAAGTTGACCAGGCTTTTGAGACTGACTTCATAGAGTTAGTTTTTCATCTTGGAAATTAATTGTGGGACAGCATTATTTTCCTCAAAATGTCTTCAAAAGCATTAACTTGATCTCAGTAATTTCATTAATTTTAGACAAACTTTCTCACTCCTTGGGAGATTTCTGGGAAAATTGTAGAATAAAAATAGTTGTGGTTTTTCTTTTCTTCTTCTTTTTTTTTTTTCATACAAAAGAGAAAGCACAAAAGCATATATTACATTATATGTGCATTTGCCTTGGCTTTTTATCCTTAAATGGTGTACAAGACACGGTAAACTTAGACACCATGCAATATTCATCAACTGTACCACCCTGGCCCCATGTCCTCAGAGAATAGTCTTGATAACAGTATCTGATGGGTACAGGTTGTATGTCAAAAGCTGATGACAGATCAAGTGGAACCAACAAGGAATACTGCTTGCCTGTTTCCAGACTGTTGATGACAATTCCAGCCAGGCAGGATTCCACCAGTATTACAAATCTAACACCTTCCAGTTATATTTAAGCTTACCAAAATTCTTTTAGTAAAGGACCCTTCATTGTCTCATTGCCTCATAGCCTGAGAGGTTATACTTAAACGAGCTGGTTGCTTTAAGGGTAGTGGAAACATGTGCCTCTTTTAGGGAGGATGCAAGGAAAGGGCAAAACTTCTCACATCTCCAGCCTCAGAGTGGAATATGGCATTGAAGCCCGGCCACTTTTTTCTTCTCCATGTAATGGTTAGGTAGGAAGCTGTGCAGCACAGAGCAGGGATAATCTTTATTTCAGAGCAAAAATCATTAGGTCTCTTTTCCTGACCTTTTGTATGTCTCGGACCATGGAGCTTCACCTGGTTACGCAAGTATAGAGCCAAATATCTTGTCAAAGGGTGCCTTCCAGAATCTCATCTGGTCTTTACTCACAAAGAAAGAATTCCTTGGTTGCAGGGGCTTTATCATTGCTAAGGGCACAGCAGAAAGGCAGTAACTGAAGCAATAGTACAATTATTGTCAAACATTTGCTTTCAATCTCAACTTTCTTTATTCTTTTCCCCTGAGGCATCGTTGTATTACGGTTACCCTAAAAGCTGGATGGTAAATACACTCTGTTGTGCATAACTGTTTTGTCAAGTCTGATTTTATAGTCGGTGAATGCAATGCACACTTTTCATTTGCTTTTGTTAAGCTAAATCCTGTGAAGTGTTGAGTGCTGCCAACTGAAACTCAGAAAGCAGCTGAGGCTAGTCAGCTTCCCATGGCATTGGGCTGCTGCAGGAGAAGGGCTTAGTCCCAGGCTTGCACGCTGTCACTTTGCCAGTTGTTTAACTGCATGTCTGCAGTAGGACTAAGAATGGAGCTGTTCCTGCTTTTGTGACAAAAGCCAGCCTTTAGAATTGTGTGGTACACTAGCAAGATGAACAAAGCAAATGGAGGCAAGCTTTTGGAAAATAGCTGCCTGCTGTCGTTCCAGAAGCAAGGCTGTTTTATTAGGGCTACAGTGGTTCAGGAGCCCTGCTGAAAAGAAGATTTTACTGAAGTAATTCAACTTTAAGAACGCCGTGCTACTTCCCAGCCACCCCACCCCCTTCCCAAGGATACTGACTGCCATTCTAGTTTTATTCCACATGTCAACGCTCAAAATTCAGTGCAACTTCAAAGGAAAGCAAAGATCAATGACTCTAACACAACCTGAATAAATTGAACTGGTGTGCTCTAACCACTGCTAACTCTCATTTTTAATTGCATTTGTCGTGTGTAGTCTTTTGGTATGTGAGCAAGATCTTGCAGCTTCACTCAGTTCATGTTTTATTCTATCTAATATGCTGTTATATAGACTTCACTTTTTTCTTTTGTCACTGTCACATTTGTGTTGTTTGTTTCTTTTCCTGCTAGCTGTCAGGGCATGAAAAGGTATGGATCGTAGCGTGGAAAACTCCCCTTCAATTTCAGCATTTGTATTCCTAATGAGCTTCTGCAGTTTCGTGTGACTTTTTTTTGTTGTTTGCTTTTTTTTTTCTTTATAACCTTAGTTTGTGCAAAAATATCTTGGCCTGTCTCTTGAAGACAAACTGAATAGTGAAATTATGTTAACTTATGATTAGTCCCAGTAGCACAGTTAATTTGGAATTGTGTGCAGTGGCCTAGCTGTATCTAATCAGATATACCCTTTTACTGTAAAGAAATGATATTTTAAGACAGGAATATCTAGCACCATGTACTTTCATTTCTGTAGAGGCTGCCCTTCAAAGTGTAGCACTTTGCAAGGCTGTCTGCAGGTAGAAATTCGCAGCCTTGTGTTATAGAAGTAGTATGGTGCAGCAGCAACAACTTTGTTGAAGTAGTTAATGAAAATTGTTGTCCTGCCTTTCCTTGAGGAAGAATAGCTAGCCAGGCTTTTGAGAGCGCAGTTCCAAAATGTGCTGTTCAAATTTTGGAATATGTTTCTTGCTTTTTCAGCTTCAAACAGCAGCATCCAGAAGTTACGTGGGCTCAAGTGCCCCAACTGGAATAAACAAAGATGAAGACACGAGTCGCTTCCATACCACTAAGAGGGGGAATTTCCATGAAGTTTTTAACCTGTCAGAAAATGAGCGTCCTTTGGCAGGTATTGCAACATTAGTGGAATACATTCTGAAAAGCCAAAGATAGCTTAAAGCTGAATTCTCCCTCTGTGTAATGTATAAATAGAAGTTTTTGATTTAAAATACCTGCTTTAAATTACAATGAATAGTGGTGGTCTCTTTCATTCTATGTCTTTACAGTTGTTTGCAGGAATCAACAGCAGGTCATGTCTTTTGTTGTAGTGCAAATGTTAAAGTAAATAATTGTGTTTGTGGGTTGGACCTTTGTTCTTAACTTAAAAAAAAAAAGCAACGGTGTTAAAACAGTTATGATGCCTAGAAACACCTTCTCTAGGTTTTGCTATGCAAACACTTCTTGTTTTCGGTATCTAAAGGTGAATTTTCAGTTCTGCCCTTTTATAAGGGAATTGCTGTTTCTTTCCTGAAGTAAGATTTCTTCCTGTGATTTTTTGTTTAGTGTGTGAAAATGGCTGGCGTTGTTGCTTGATCAATAGAGATAGGAAGATGCCTACAGACTACATCAGAAATGGAATTCTTTACGTCACGGAAAAGTGAGTCATTAAAATTGACACATTTCTTAGGAGGAAAATGCAGCAGACATTAAAAAAAAAGAATCTGAAAGTGATCCTTTGACAATATTTTGAAACAACACTCTTCTTATAAGTGGGTATAAAGTGCCTTTTCATGGTGCTTTAAAACCTCAAAGCATGATAGGAGAGCGAGATCAAAATCTGGGGTGTAGTAAAGCTTAACAAGCCTGGTTTTGTCTTGGGAAGGCTTGTGTGGGAATGGAGAGCAGCTCTATAGCCAGTTGTTAGTAGCTGCAATCCGTGATAAGGATAACATACACTCTCTATGTGTGTATGCCAAAAAAAAAAAAGAAACCTAACAGCCGGATGTATTTTGGGAGCTGTGATTAATGGTTATGTGACAATTATTCTTAAGTTTCATTTTTAAAGAATGCTTCCTTGAAGCAATGTGCAATCAAACCAGCAAACCAAAGAAACTCAAGCCTTGGTTTCAAAACTAGTAATTGATTTTTTTTGTTGCTGTTTTTTTTGTTCTTGTTTTTAGTTTTTACTTCCTTTTTCTTCCTCCCCTGTGCTGAAATGAGTGTCACTACCGTTTGGCTCTTGCACTGAAATTCCTTTGGAGTGTAATGAATGGAAGTAAAGCTAATCCGTATGCAGTGTCACCCAGTGATGGAGAGTGTTTGGAATCTGTAGCATTTAAAAATTTGAGCTTTTGTCTGCATCACAATAACATGAAATTAACACAGTAATTTTCCATTAGGTCCTATTTTAGGGGAGGGTAAAAGACTTACAAGCTTTTTGAGATAGAATATTTCAACTGTTTAAGTCTTTACTTGTTTCCTGTATTTTTAAAGTGCTTGTTGGGTTTCCCCATAAGTGCAGTAATATAAAAACAATGTTTTTTTGGTCTGTACTTGCTGTGTGTTCCTGGCTTTCCAATGTGTTAGCCAGTTGCTAGCATTTCATGAATGTTTGTTCTGAATCGAAAGTTGTAATTGAATTAATTGAATTCAAATTAATTGAATTTTGTTTTAGAATACTGTGTTAAAATGAGCATTTTCTTTTCTTGTCTTCAGTTACTTGTGCTTTGAAAGTTCCAAATCAGGCTCATCTAAAAGAAATAAAGTTATAAAGCTAACGGATATAACAGATATTCAGAAGGTATGTCTTTTTTGTGTTGCACATAGAGAAAAAAGTTGATTTTCTGTTCTGTTAGTTATGTCTTGATTTTCTGCTTATGGTGATTTGGGATTTTGAGGGAGGAGGGGAAGATGACATTGATCGTTTATGTAACTGAGACCGTTCTTTGATCAGGAATATTTGTTCAGTTGTTTAGAGTAACCACAGGCAAACTCACTGGGAGCATAAATGTTTACAAAACTCTTACATTCCTGAATTATTTTTTAATTAAAATTATGTTGTTTCTCCTGTATTGACTGGATCTGCTTAGGCTTTAAGATTTTTTTGTTAGCAAGAATTGTGTAACCTTAACTTAAATTAGAGGGTTGATGTCAGAAGATCCACCATCTTAAATGTAGATGCCTTGGAGGAAAGAGGGATTACTGACAGTGAAGAAGGATAAAGCATTAGAGTAGCATTACTGAATCGGACTGGAATTTTGTGTAGATGGAATCCATCACTAAGAGAGTGAAAAGTGGATGGTTAGAAGCCTGGCAAGTACAGCGTGATCTTCTGGTTGAGCCTGCTGTCACCAGTGGCTGCATTCTGTGCCTAGCATCACGCTGTATGATGTTTAGTATCACTTCTTGTTACCTCTTTTAAATTGTCTCACTCTTAAATACAGGCACCCCTACTTTTTGCTATATCCTGTGGCCATGAGAACCACAAATCATAACCCACAGAGAAAGAAGTCAGTCTGGTGTCTGTAGTTTGGGTACCTCCAGATTTGCAAATGAATTCTTTCCATTCACATCACATGTCCATTAGGGAGATGACTCGAGCTCAGCTCGAACTTCTCATTGAAATTAATAATTCATACTGATGTATTTTAAACACCATACTTGAAGCAGCACTGGCTTGTTTAGTTGGTCTTTACTGCCATGGAAGTCCTTTTGTATCAGTGTAGCTTCTTGATGAAGATGAGACAGAGATTGTGCAGCCAAGCATAAAAGCACAGTGGGCCTTGTTTTATTTGTGGGTGGGTGAAAACAGGACAGGCTCACGCTCCTTCTATATTTAGGATATTCTCTAGCTCAGCCAGCAGTATTTCTGCATAGCCTTGCAGACTTTCTTTAAAAAGCCCAACTGTACATATTCTGTTGATCTACTTAATTTTGAAAATTAGGTTTTTTTTGTCTATTTCCTGCTGCTTTAAACTATCAATGAATATTATTAATTCTAGGGAAACCCTTAAACTCTGGGCACTTGCACACCTCTTCTGCCTGCTTAAATTTATGCACATGTATATATATGTAAACAATATATATGAGCACAGAGGCACACTGATGTACTGCAGAAGAGCAGGGTGCACGCCTGGTCAGTGACCACTGATATCCCTTAGTGTGAAGCTCCTGACTGGACCCTGGCAGGGGAAGCTGGGGCAGCTCCCAGTAGCAGTGCTGGGCTGGGGACCATTGGGGTGGGCAGGTAGCACAACATGGGGCAGGTGCTTGCTGCGTGGGCAGAGCTGTGCTGGTTTATTTCGGGGCCAGCAAGAAGTGTGGCCTGTGCTGATTTTAACACAGGCCTGTTAGTTGTGGCTGGAAGGGTCTACCTCTGATGAGCTGCATAACCTCCTCAGCACTTCTTACAATTGTTCGGTACATCTAAGATACCTTAGGTCTGTGCTTGCTCTTCCAGTATAAAGTGCTCTCTGTTCTCCCGGGATCAGGGATGGGTATTGCCGTATCAACACCATCTACACAAAAAGTAAGTAGCTGGCTCTATCTGTGTTGTCTGTTTGCCTTCATGCCCTTTTTGACATCTTTCTCTGGCAAGCGGTAGCAAAAAGGGTTTTTCTTTTTCCTCTTGCTAGTGTTTTGCTTCTTTCTCTAATTCGCTTGTACATAATTCAGCATGTTTCTTTCAGAATTTTAATGAATTAAACATTCAACCTGTTTTACTGCATCTGACTACTTCACTGTAACACTTCAGACAGATTTGCTTCATCCTTTCAGCTCCTTTCTTTCATTACCTCAATTGACTGCTCTCTCAGCATCCTTTGAGAGCGTAAGGGGTGATAGTGCAACAGTCAGAGAATAAAAGTTGATGGCTTGACAGTATCTTTGGGTGAGGAACGATCTGCTGTATGGCATGTTTTGGGGTGGATTTAGTTTTCCTGTTCAAACCTTATTGTACTAAACAGTTAAGTATCATCAGGAAAACTTCATGCACTTCATGAGCGAGTTAAAATGCCCTCGGTTGCCTGTTCTGTGTGCTTTATGCTGTGGTTGTTTTATAAAGACAAGATGGAGATGGAGACACATTAGAAACTTGGGCATATATCCAAGGATTTAGTAGAGAAAAGGATTCTTACTCTTTATTAATGTACTTTGAGTACAGTCCTGCTCCTAATGATATGGCCAGAACCATAAAGTACCTAAAGGAAGAGTTTTCTTATTCCAGACTGACGTGATCTTTTCTTTCTTTCCCTGTTGTTTAGCCTTTGGTGTTTGGTGCTATGGTACACAGAGATGAAGCTTTTGAGACGATTTTCAACCAGTATGTGAAAATAACCTCTGCATCATCGAACAGTGAGAGCTAGTATCTTATCTTAGAAAACATAAAGGAAACTTTCTTATTTTGCAATTTGGTAGTGAAAAAAAAATAATGAACATCCTCATCTATTTTGCAATAATTTTTCTTGTCTGGTGGTTTATATTCTATCTGTTACATAAATCAAGTGTATTTTATATATGCCTTCATGTTTGTTTTTAAGGTTTTTGTAAAAAAAAAAAAAAAAAATTGTAAAAAACCCACAAAAAAAAAAACCAACAACAAAATGAAGCAAAACAGTGGAAGTGCTATCATCACTATTAGCCTTGTACATTAAGCACTTTTAATGTTTATTTACTGACATGAGTAGCTCAAAAGACACTAGAAGAAGCGACTGAGTAATGGACTGAAACAGACTGATCCCTTTTAACTGCACTTATATCACTGGGGATACGTTGGACCCATTATCTCAGTTATTTTTTCCCCAAGATGTGAGAACGACAACTGCAATATCCTGAAGTCTGTTTCTTCAGCTTTAAGTTTTAAATTGGGTTCTATATTAAAACTGGTGGCCAACACCAAGGAAGTATTATCATCTTAGTATTTCCATATTTGTAACTGCACTTAACATAACTCCTCCTTGCTAAATCTTGCATCGAAGAAGGTTGTTTACCAGTTGGGTCAGTTTTTTCTGCTTACAGAGATTTAAATTGTTTGTACAGTGAATTGGAGGAAAACATTTCTAGCTATATCTTCCTTTCCTGATTAACCAAAGCAAGAGGAAGGAAGGCAGGCAGATACTTTTTATAAAAGAGGGCATCAAAACGTTGTTCCTAAAATGTTAGGCATCATATATTTGTATTTCTGTAGATAGTTGTCATAGAAGGGCTCAACTGTTGTACATGTTGTATGTACAAGGTGTTTGTATGTTACTGCATAAAAGACTTGTGGGCTTTTTGTGTTGGGGAGCTGGGAGTGGTTAAACTAACCTGCAACATGGCTGGTTTTTAATTTGGCTTTTCTCTGGAGTTACCTTATAATAACACTATGAGACAGCGAGTGAAAGCACTATTTCCTTCTCACAACATCATTTGAGGGGCATTGCACTGTCACTGTTTCCACTTGTAAAATTAAATTTCAGTAACAGTTAAACCCAATTGCCAGGTAAAACAGGAAGGCTGTGCTCCTCTAAACTCTCTCAGGCCTTTCTGGCAGCAAAGCACATATTGATCTTCAACTTTAATACAGAAAGCTTTTTTATTCTATACAATAGCACCCATCTGAGAGGTTTAGAATTCAATTTGCATTTTTCCTGAAGCACAGTAGGAGTTACACTGAGCCTTCCAGTTTGTCTGTTCCTTCTCTGTGTCTTTTGAGTTGAGTAGTGCAATGTCTCCAGGTGTTATATGGAGGACCCCAGAAAAGTAGTGGAAATGCAAATTCTTATATAAAAAATAGGACTTAGTTTCACAGATTTTTTTTTAACAGGGATTTTTCTTTCTTTATATGGGGAAAAAGATAGAATGAAGGAGTGGCAGAGCCAAACACCAAAGCATCTTTAACACTTAGCACAGTTTTTACTTAAAGTAACTAAATGCAGCAGTACTGAAGGAGGCAGTTAAACTGTACGAAACTATTTCAGTCTGGCTGTGAAGAGGTATGATGCAAAGAACTTAAAGTGCACCTGATATGAAGAAATACTGTCGAATACTGTGATTTGGTTGGGTGTTGTGAAGTAAAACACTGACTGTGGTACAGCACCATGCCCTGGATGGAACTGTGAACAGGAGCAGGAGAGAATCCATAAGGGCTGGGATGTCATTTTGGAGATCTCTTGACCTTTGCAACCAGGAAAAGGGGTGCATTTCTAATGCTGCCCATGTGTGTGCATCAGGACCTGAAAACTTAACACGTAAGTGAGGCTGGGTGGGCTTTCCTTTTTACCACCATCTAACATGGATGTAGCTTGGCAGTTTATGGTTTCTTCGCTTGACATACTCAGGTTTTATGTTTAAATTCCTTGAACTTAATTTTCTTCTTCAGACCTGCTTCAAAATCAATTAATCTTTTTGCAATTGTTTTGTATTATCATCTGATTTTCCTTCCTAGAAGCTTCCCTGAGTAGTGAGTGTGGCTAATAGGCATTAAAATCGCTTAATGTTATACAAATCTTAACCAGATTCATCCATTTTGTCTTAAGGAAGAAATCCCTTGGGTATGTTTAAAGGTATTGGTTTTGGGGCTTTTTTTTTTGAAGAAACAGAAAACTATATTTTTTACAGAGAGCCTGCTCTTTTTCTTATTTTTGTATCATTTTTTCAAGTGTAATTTATACCTTCACTCTGATCATAACAGCAGTTTCAGTAGGAAATCAGTTGACTGACACTTGTTACTTCCCCCACACCTCCATCACTGGTTGACCCTGGCTTATGGGGCTGTCCTGGATTCTGGTTCCTGAAGGAGCTGTAGGTCCTGTGCTTGTGGTGCCAGGGTGGTTCACTATACCTAGGCTTCAGAGCAGGAGAAAAGAGGTCACGATCCTTTCTCCCAGCCTGAAATGCCTCGTGTACAATATACTCTTAATTTTATTTTCTTTCTGGACAAAGAAATTAAAAACTTTTTACAAAATCTAATGTGTTGGCATTCAGAATCAATGCACGCTTTAACAGTGTGAATTTGAAAATGAGCAATTCCTTGAGCAGTAAACCTAGGGCAAACTGCAATGCAACACCATTTCATTCGAACGTGTAGAAACCAGACTGGATTTTTTGGGGGGAGCTGTAATATAACAGACAGACGTCTATGTACATATTTTGCAAAGCTCACTTTACATTAGGTTGTCCAGGTTCCTGCTGTGTAGCTGCTCTGTGCGTTACAGAACATCACTGCTGCTCCAAGGTGCCCTCAGTGTGTTTACTGACGAGTCCTGTGCTCGTTCCTCTGCTGCATCCCCGAGTGCTCGGAGGGCAGCAGGGGTGGGACAGTGAGGAAGTGTATACTTGATTTGTACGATTACACTCAAGTTAACCTTCGATTCCAATTGACCTACGTAACTTTGCAGTGTAACCTGCTTTGCTTCATTAGCAGGCTGGGTAGTACCACTTAATGTAGAGTGTTACTTTCTAATAGCAGAAAGTGATGTTCTTGTCATTCTGTTTGCTGTTTATATTTGCAGTTATGTTGATGTATGCGGTTCGCTGCTGTTGGATTTAACTTCTTTTAATAGAAGTGCATTGGTTAGTTTGAGTCCCTTTTACAGGAAGAAAAAAAGGGAGATGAAAACTGACTACTTCAGTTTCTTATTGGTGACCATTTAAATTCAGAAGGAAAAAAAAAAGCTGAAATATGAAATCATGCCTTTCCATACACTGTAGCTTTTGTGAGGCAAGATTGAATGAAACAAGCTGTTTCTAAGTAGCAGCATCAAACGGAAGCCAGCAGCAAAACCCCACTGTTGTTCCTGCAGACAAAGAAGAACAAGATTTCACCCAATCTTGAAGAGATGACAGGATGTACTTTTTTTTTTGGCTACTTAAACTTGTATGAAGAACACTGGTAGTTTTTATTGAATTCTGTACATTTTGGCAGATGTTTAATTTCTACTACTGATCATTGAAATATAATGGATGTTAAAATTTTTATGTCTGAAGTTTGAGTCTATATTTTGAAGTTGTAAATAACTCATTATCAGTGTAACTTTTGTTTGACAAAAGACTTATACTGTATGAAAAATTGAGATAATGAAATGATTTGCCCTGTACATTTTTTAAGGAAATGTTGTTTGTTTAAAAAGTCTTGTATAAATTATAATTTTTATTTAAATAAACATACAAATGCTTTGTGCTAACCCTTTTTACAAACTCCAGTAGTTGGTGCAGCGAATTCGACAGCAGATTTCTTGCAGCAGAGCACAATACTGCCTTTTGGCATTTTCACAGCAGACTCAAGCCCTTTGCTGGGGAAGTGTGTGGTTTCTGGTGCTCACTGCTTTTGAAGCTCAAGAACTGTGCTTTTATCTGAAGTGATCCTGCTGGTGCATTGGAGAGCACGGCTGTGGTTTTGGCTCCTGTGCTGTTGAGCACCTGTCCCTTTGTAATCATGTAGTTAAATCCAGGGATGGAGAAGCGGCAGGTGAGTCTGAGGTGCTCCCACTGAAGGAGAGCAGGGGTAAAACAAGACTCAATAGCTCTTAGGCAAAGCAATAGTTGCAGACCGTAGGCACGGAGGTAAGAATGGGAGCCTTTCTGCCTCAGAGGTATGTGGGAGGTGTGCTTAGAAAGCTTGTATAGCTGACCCAGGGCTGTTCTTTGTCTTTCAGTACCTGTGGTCGTTTCAGGTCTTCTGTCTCACAGACTTAGATGCAGTCAGTTGCTGTGCCTTTGGCCGTGCTTCTGTGAAATCTGTAACCCTACTGGGGATTAATGGTGGGGCTTCTTTGTCCGTGGTGTCTGTCACAGGAGCTGGCTGCACAGCACTGGCTTTCACTGCATACTCAGGGCTTTGTCTCTGGTTAGGAACATGATACTAAGAGTAAGCTTCCTGATCATCTAATCTGAGTGTATTTGTTTGTCCCTACAATACTCCTTTTTATGTTTTGCTCCATTGAAATAGATCAGTCCACAGCAGATCCTGCAGTCATGAATGCGCGCTGTTTCATTTACTTCTATATTTAGTTTCCTCACGATGGCAGCTATGCGTTTGGTGACGAAGTGATGCTTTTAAGCTGCTATTTTAAATACTTGTGTGTTCAAACCATACTTAACTTCCCTCTTGTTCTTCTGTTAATGCCTTTTTCATTAAATACTTTTATACAAGGCCAGGTGCATCTGCAGCGGCGCTCACACAGGTTGGATTCAGCCCCGGCTGCCTGCAGCCTGGTGGGAGGAGTGCGTGGAGCCTTCATGTCTGGTTTTGGCTGTAGGCTGCCTGAGACCTGGGGAGGGGAGGCCGTTGTTGCTGAAAACGGCTCTTGTTTTCTCAGCCCCACTTTAGCAGCCCATGGAAATAATAGGATTTACTGAATGAGCTGCATACCTGCCCTCCATGCAGCTCTGACTCCATTGTGCAGAACAAGTATTAATGAGATTGTAAAGGACAGTTACTGCATTCAGACCAGAGATACAAATGTGGTTTGTTCTTTTTCCCCTATTCTAAGTATTTTTTTTTTTTTTAGATCTAAGTTCCTCTATGGAGTCCCTGGATTCAGTACATTCCTCTTTTTAGACAGTTTCAGGGTAAGCTAAATGTTCTGTCTGCAAGTTAATGGCTCATCTCAGCTTCAAACATTTCCCTACATCATGAGTTAAGAGTTGTAAAAGATGTATTTTATGTGTTAGACAAGCTGAGGCATTCTTAAGAGAACTCTCTTGCAGCAGCAGCTCCTCACTGAGCTGTTGACATGAGAAGTGGGCTTAATGCAGTGCCTCAAGGATGTAGTTGTGAATGTGCCTGGTACTGTATTTAACCTGAACTGATTTATTTGGCCAGTTTAGCTTTGGTTGGGAAGCAGAGAGGAAAGATGATGGGAAGATAGAGACCTGTTTCCACATTTAGATACCTGGCTCTTCTTCGTGCATTGTGAGCTTCACACCTTTTTGAGATGTGAACTGTGTATAATCTGTTTTTGCATTCTCTACTGACGCTCTGTTTTTACCACTTCAAACTTCAAATGGCTATATGTGGAGAAGGATTTCCTTCAGTCTTCCTTTTTCATTATGTTTTTCTTTTGGTTAACTATCAACTTTGCCTATTCTTTAGCTGCTCCCTGTGTTTCACCCTCCCCTAATTCCATGTGCATGTTTTCCTCTATACACCTAGCTTCATCCCTCTCATGTGAGTACACAAACCTTTATCCAAAACCATTTGATCCATTTGCCATCTGCTCTGTTTCATCTCTGAATGATTCACATGGCTGGGTAAGATCCTATGGACCAGAAACTAATCTTCATCTTTGCTTCACATGGTAATTAGTAGCAATGAGTGGCTGGCTTCTACCCTACAGTCTAGCTGAGATTGAAGGTGAATATGTCCAAGGGTTCTGACTGATTCAGGTTTACCTTGAGCAAAAGATGTGTCTGTAAAAGATGAATGTAAAAGTAGCTGCATAACACAGAGAGGTATTTGGGGAAGATTGTTCAATCTAAGCTGATATTTGCTCAGTCGTCTCCATGCTGTTCTATTGAGCACAGGGCATCAGGTTTTGATCTCTCTCAGCTAAGTCAGTAAGAGCTTCTGTAAATGCTCTCCTTGGTTTTCCTAAGTCAGGGAAGTATTTAAGAGGAACTGCTGTTAGTATGAAGTCTGTAGACCAAACAGGTGCATTAAGTATTATTTATACATTTTGAAAAGTCGTTTCTGATCAGAAATGTCTTTAGCCACTGACAAACGCTGACATAAGTAAGGAATGAGTTGCATGGGCTGTTTCTAAAGCCAGCCATCCCTAAAAATATCACGTACGTCTGTAAATTTGCAGAAATGATGTAAGTCTGAGAAGCACTTTGGTGTTTGGGAAAAATGATCACATCTTTCAGATCCTCTTTGGGAAAAGCTGGGGGATGGGCTCCTGCGTAAACTAACAGTGACATACACTGAACATTTCTCCATGGGAAACGTGTGTTACGAGTTGGTATTTACTCATGTTGCTGTCTTAATACAAGGGCTGAGAGCTCCTGTGTGCTGCCACCTACCTAATGCTGGCACTGGGACTCATCAGACCTTCCTAAAAAGGCAGGAGCCCAGCAGAGCACCTTGGAGTGCTCTGCACATCTCCCTTTCCAGCACAGTGAGCCATCGTGGGTTGGCACAGCTGCCCTTGCAACTGCAGCCTCAGGTAAGTTTTGGGGGTATATAAAACTGCCTCAGTGTTCCCCTGGCCTACAGCATTTGGGAACATTCTGCAATGTCCGTCGGATTTCAGAGGTAACCTTTTCATACAGATTGGATAAACATCACGGTGTTGGCCCTGACTATAGTGTTAAAGAATAATGAAAGGAACTGTGAGCTAAAGCTATCTTCTGTGTGCACAACTTGGTGTGAATCCCATTGGTGCAAATATTTGCAGATCAGCATGCTGCTGTTAGCTCTGCCTTTCATCTGAGCCTTCAAGCAGCAGCTTTTCCCCTGCTCTTGCTCTCAGAACTTCAGAGCTGGGAAAAAGAAGGCAAAGAGGGAGGTTCACCTAGGGGTGTTTGGGCATTGTGTTCTGAGCAGGGAAAGTTGTAGGGCATCCACAGAGCACAGGCTGGAGAAGACTGGAGTTCTGTTGTACGTGTGGTCCTTTATATGCTCTTCGTGTTGCTCTACTGCTGATACAGCTGCATTATAATCCACTTTTTGCCAGAGAATAACAAAATATAAGTGCCCAATTTCAGCAGTTTGTAAGCTTTTGTTCTTTTTAGGATGTATATATATATATATTTTCCCTATTGATACCAAAAAAGGCCTCATGAGAGACGCTTCTCTCCCAGCTTTCAGCAGCACCATTTCAGCAGCCTCATTAAGTTGCTCGTCACCAGATTGGTTGATGAAAGAAGAACCAGGCACCTGGCCTGACGGAGGGCACGTCACGAGCTGTGCAGTTGGGTGATGACAGGAGAAATGCGATGGTGGGACAGTTGATAGGACTCCCTATTTCGGGTGCAGGTGATTCAAGGCTGGGTCTCTGGTTGGCTGTGCCTGCACCACATGGAGAGCAGCTCTTGGTTCCCTGGCACTGAAGGTTGCCAGAGCCCCGTGCTGCTCCTCTCTAGCTTGGTGAAACTGGGCCAGCTCCAGGTCAAGGCTCATCACAGGCAGCAGAAACACCCAGGCTTGGCACCTCGTGCCCCAGGACAGTGGATGCAGAGGTCCATTCCAGCCTCAGCCCCTCTGTAATTCTCTGATCTTGCTGCGTTGGGTCGATCAGGACTCGAGGAACTCTTCCTGTCTGCACTTTCTTTTGCTATCAGTGCAGCTGAGGAGCTGAAACTCCTATTCCTCTGCTAGATCATTGTTGAAACATAGCTAATGGATGAGATATTTGACCAACTTAAATTGAAGTTCTTGCAGAGAATGAAGTTCAGTGTGTTTCTCAGATGCTGAGTTTGATGCTCTCACCAGGAAGAACTACACTGCCTGCATTCTCTCTCATTCTGTGTGTTTTTAATGAGCAGCAGGCACCTTTTTCATCTGCATTTGGCTGGTGGTTGATGCAGACTGTAACTCACTGGAGCCTGTTCAGCTGCAAGGGTGATGTGTCAGCTCCTGTGCAAGGGATGGAGAAGAGCTGTTCCGTGTGACACTGGGGTTGCTGTTGTACTGCTGTAGAAGTCTTCAGCCACAAACAGAGCTCAGGTGGGTAGGGAGACTTTGCTAGAGGTTTTTACCTACTGTGCTTTCCTGTGAGCTCTCCTGATGCATTCAGCTCGCTAATACAGCTCACGTTCTCCCTGAACCTTGAGCACAGCCCGGTAAAAACACCAAGTCTGCCTGCTGGTGTTCAATAATGAAGGAAAGAAGCTTGGAGAGTACGCGCCGTTTAAGATCTGCCCCTCAGCAGTCTGCGCGTGCTCACGGGCTGTGAGGTGGGAGCAGCAGCTGGCTGCAGAGCAGCAGGCAGGCCTGGGGGAGGCCTCTGTACCGTGTGTATTCCACATGCACCCAGGCCAGTTAAAAGCATGGCTGCACAATCCACGCAAAGCAGCCGTGCGGTTCAGCCAAGTGCACCGTGATGCTGAGATGCTTTTGTGCCCATTTGAGGCTGAAGCCATGCCTGATTTCCAGCCCTCCCCACACAG